GAAAATGTTGCAGGATCAGGTTGATCGAGCCTGTTCAAAACGGTAGAGGTAATTGCAAGATACCGTCCATGCTTAAACAGAATTCAATATTTAACATGAACTGGTCATTTTTGAATTTTGAAACACATTTTAAAACCACGGACATATGACGGGTCTGACGATTTAGACTAATATTTAGCTCAATTTAATATTGTAGCTGAATTAATTGGAGTAGGGACCATATTTTCTCTACTTATCGCCACATCAGCGTTGTTTGTGCTGTGTTGAGGCTGTAAAAATCGACCCGAACATCAGAGATGTTATCCTTAAAGATCGTTCAACACGACATAATTGCTGTTTGTGGTATTTTTTAGTTTCAACTATTTGGCTTTTTCGTATTGGGTGGTTCCAATATTCCTACTTCCTACATGACTAATGTTGACATTGTTGTGTATACATGCTATGTGGTAATTTTAATATCTCCTATTTTGCATTTTTCATCTTGGGTGGTTCCAGAATTCCAACTAGAATACTGTATAATCACCCATAGGATATGTTGCCTGCTTTTTAAATTTGTCTTTTGACGTCTTATCGATATCGATATGCAGGTTACAGACTCAATCAAACCGAGTCTGCAATTTTCATGTAATTTTGTTGTGATTAATGCTTCCGAGGGATCGCTTTGTTTCCAGATTTTCATAACCTCAGATTCCGATCGATCACTCTTTTTTCCAGATATTAATTGTTGGATTTTGGCTTCAGCCAATGCTTGGGGGCGGGAACCGTAGCTTGTATGCAGTTACCACTACCGTCCGTGAACAGACTCAATTAAACCGAGCTTGCAGCATTTTCAATTTTGCCTTGTGTTGGGCTTATTATTAAAGTCTTCACATCTGAACACATCTGCGGCTAAATTTCACCATTTTGAAGTTTAAATGTTAGGGTTAGGGTTAAGCCGGTGTTTTGGGCGTGGACGGTAACTTGCGCTTTCTAGTACCGCACATGAACAGATTGCAGTTACCACTACCGTCCCTAAACAGACTCAATCAAACCGAACCTGCAACATTTTACAATTTTGCCGTGTTGGGATTTCTTTAGGGATTCTGTTTTTCACTAATTTCACAATTAGGAGTGCTGTTTTATAATATTGGCCCTCGTCGGATGCATACGTCATGGGGACCTGCCTTCTGCATAAAACCATCTTTTTGTAAGGTTGAAAGTAAATTATCAATTTGATTTTGTAAATTATATAGCTTAGACTAGAACATCGACAAGGAACTTCTCACTTAATTTTGAACTGACATAAAATTTTGATGTACTTATGAGCTTAAGTGAATAACTAATGTCTTTAAGTATTATGATAATTTTCTCCATCTCCAAGTTTTCTAAAATTATATCCTAGCGTGGATTGGACAAACTTTTATTCTCAGTCTGCAATTAACTAATATCAGGTACAGACTCACAATCGATGTCTCCCAATACAAGCATAAGACTCTAATTTGCCACGGTATCAGGTAAGATAGCAATAAACGAATAGCACGTGCACAAACTAAATTAAAAGGTATTAAGTATGTTTTTTTTTTCCTGATTATTCTTTTTTCCACCGCTGCCACCAAATTTGTAGCGTTACAGCCCCCCCCCTTCTCACCAATTAATACGGAAGCGCTTGCGTTAGTCAGTAAATGTTAATATAGAACATAAGGGTACAAACTACATGATTTCACCTGGGCCCGGCTTGTTGGTAATTCCTGCTTCTGGGAAATGAAGGCAATATAAAGCTTAAAGATTAACTTTATTAAAATGAAATAAACAATAGTAACCGTAACGTACAGCTATTAATATTTCAAAATGAAATGATCAATATGTCGATTGCTTGTTTTTTTAAAAGTTTTTCTCAGTTTTTTTTATTTGAGATGAACCAAAGACACAATATAGTGAAATTGTCATTTAATGCTTAATGCCTAAAAGAGAAAAAAATCATAATAGTAAAACATACAAAATGTACAATAAAGTAACATATTAAATGAATGCAATTGTTATAAATGCAATTATGCATCAATACCGAAAAAATTGAAACTATTATGCATGTATGAGATCAGAAATCAATTGTTGGTTAACCATCAAAATGACGTTTATTTGTATTTGCACAGGGCACGCGCATTCTTTACTTGTGGACCATACGCCTCTTGTTGCTGGGTCGTGTGAGGATTGCGTTCATTGAGCGCCGCCTTTCCTTGTTGATCCTGTTTACCATATTTCATGGAATGGCACTACTGTGTCACACTGTGAAGTTTCCATGATTACCGCCTTATGAAAACATTCTGCGGATGTTCTAAATTCAAAACTTCACCATTTTGGTGTTTAAATGTCAAATTCTGCTTAAGGTACTAGGGGGCGTGGACGATAACTTGCACTTGACAGATGCTTGTTCATTGGTGACTATTTTCTGGGGTTTCATATTGTGACAACAGGGAACTTATTCTTATTTTTAACTATGATACAAAAAGAGACACTCGACAATCTGATTTATACTTGGGGGCCTACACCCTGTTGTACAAATCGGAAAGCCTCGTGTTTCGATGCTCTTTCTATTATGTATATCGTGTTATATTCAGTTTCTTGAGAAGTATGAACTATGGATTATGCAACGTGTTGAAGAAATTAGCGCCATGTATTCATAGATCCTTACTCTGACCTTTGTAGATTTATAGCCCTTGACTTGGTTTTCAACTTGTGTCGCGCGTAGCTCAAAAAATATTTGACGTAGAGTCATATATGAAACTTAACAGACATGTTGATAAGAATGTGCAGTTGTGTTTTGTCAGAGTTATTGACCTGCACTTTTCAATGCGGAGCTCAAAAGTAATTGACCTAGAGCCATGAAACTTTTCAGGAATGTTGATCAGCATGTGTAGCTGTGAACCTGGGGTTTAGCTTGTGGATTTTATCAGTATTTGTAGAGCTATTGTCCTTGATATTGTGACTACTGGTGGAGGAAGACTTCAAGTGCTCCTCTATACATTACATCAGATACAAGTCTGGAACCTGAGTAGAACCTTTGATGACATTGCTGAATAGATTTTTCAAATGAAAACATCAGAAGGATTGGGTGGGTTTCAAACTCACAGTGATTCAAAGTCATTGACCTTAACCATTTTTTTAAACCAATATTTAATTGGGAAATAGATATCAATTTTTTGTGCATTGTTGTATAGGATTTAAATGCGCAGGGATATAATTACAAAGGGCGATATGCCTGGGACATTAATTTCAAAGCGTTTGAATGACAAACCGTGCATTATTATACTATAATGAAGAAAAACGAATACCTATTTCCATTCTAACATGGTAATATAAAAGAAAATTGATAAAAATACTTTAAACGACAGTGAGTAATTTTCTTGACGTCATTTGGTTTATTGACGTATGCACATTCATTATACCAGGGCACAACGAAGTTGTAAGGAGGTATACTGGAATCAGCTTTTCCATTTCCGCCCAATAACTTAAGATTCCTTTGACTTACATTCTTCATATTTGGTATTTAAATTGGTCATGATTAGTAGATGATTGATTTTGAGGTCACCAGGTCAAAGGTCAAGGTCACAGCTAGGGGCCTTGACTAAAAAAATTGTCCGCCCAATAACTTAAGATTCCATTGACCCACATTCATTATATTTGGGATGGAGGTTGGCCATGACCATAAGATGACCCCTGTTTATTTTGAGGTCTCCAGGTTAAAGGTCAATGTCACAGGGGCCTTAACTAAAACATTGTCCGCCTAATCACTTAAGATTCCTTTAACCCACAATCTTCATATTTGGCATGGAGGTTAGTCATGATTAGTAGATGATCCCTATTGATTTTTAGGTCACTGGGTCAAAGGTCAAGGTCACAGGGTCCTTGACTAAAAAAAACTTGTCTGCCCAATAACTTAAGATTCCTTTGACCTCCAGTCTTCATATTTGGCATGGAGGTTAGTCATGATTAGTAGATGACCCCTATTGATTTTTAGGTCACTGGGTTAAAGGTCAAGGTCACAGGGTCCTTGACTAAAAAAAAACTTGTCTGCCCAATAACTTAAGATTCCTTTGACCTCCAGTCTTCATATTTGGCATGGAGGTTAGTCATGATTAGTAGATGACCCCTATTGATTTTGAGGTCACTGGGTCAAATGTCATGTCACAGGGGCCTTGACTTAAAAAAAGTTTTACTCAATTGCATAAGAATGTTTTGGGCAACGGTCTTCATATTTGGTATTGAGGTTGCTTCTGACCAGTAGAAGACCTCTATTGATTTTTAGGGGACTGTGTCAAAGGTCAAGGTCACATGGATTTTACTATAATAAGCTCGTCTACTCAAATGCTTAAGAATACCTGTCCACAGTGTATTGATTTTGACATTTTCACATTTGAAGCAATGGTAGAATACATAACTTAGCAATGCACTGGCTTAGTGACCTCAGATTTGGCAGGGATGTTGTCCTTCAGCTCTAAATGGCCACTGTTGATTCTGACGAAGTGGTGTGAGGGGGTATTCACACAGGTGGCAGTATCAGTGTTTGGACACCCCACCCCTATCTGCCCCTGGACCCCTACTTCAACCCTGAAAAAAAATTCAACACTCTTAGGCTTACTAAAAGGTACCAAATACAAAAAAAAAAAAATTTTCCACTATCAAAATTATAGTTATAGACTATAACTATAATTTTGATAGTGGAAAAAATTTTTTTTTTATATAATTTCATCGGTCGTTTTGTATTTGGTACCTTTTAGTAAGCCTTAGAGTGTTGAATTTTTTTTTTTTCAGGGTTGTAGTAGGGGTCCAGGGGCAGATAGGGGTGGGGTGTCCAATCACTGATACTGCCACCTGTGGGTATTCACGCCACGACAGTGGCAGTTCTAGTTTTTTATGCTGTGCATGTACCATGTTACAATGCAGTTGATTGGCTTATCTGTTTGATAGAGGAATATTGTGAAGCGATAAATGAAGTGATAAATAAAGTTTGATTTTTTTTTCAGTCATTATATGATGCAATGCGAAGAAAGTTCATCACCACGTCAACTTTTGAGGCAAAGGAGAATGTTAGAGATGGTGACCATGGTAATATTTTAAATACATGTTTTATTTTTATTTTTTATGAAATACTTTTAAATTTATTCATATAATGCATTGCTGTAACATTTTGTTAAACAATGATTATAATGTGTGCTTTTACGCATATTTTAAAAGCATATCAACACATTGTTATTGATCCTCATGCACAGATTATGTTTAAATTAAGATGTTGATATAACAAACATGTTTTAAAGAAAACTGTGATTATCATTAACTTGATGGTTTAGTATGTACAATATTGTTTGCATTTTATATTGATGCATTCATACAATTTTTAGCTCTACGGATTTTATGATTTGACGACCATCTTGTTTGTTGAAAATATGCAGTAAAAGGTACCTTTTATTTAATTGTAGATTTTGTTTTCAATCCACGTATTGGGAGTTTAGATGGTGATCCGCCAGCGAATCACGTACAGAAAAGGTTCAGTGTCGGTCTGTGTACACCGAGGCAATAAATCATGGCAAAAAAATGGATAGACAGATTCCTGACACACATATATAGACCTTAAACAAAGACTCTGCTAAAGTGAAATATTCTGCGTTTTAACATACATTTTAATTTGGTATATGTTTTATTTCCAGGTTAATTAAATCTTAACAAACAAAAGAGAATATGGTAATACTCTGTGTCAGTCCGTCCCACATTTCTTGCTCACTGTCACATATAGTTACAGTGTAAACTTTTAGAATTATTGGCTGGCTGTCATAATGACATCTCCCCTGAAACCGTTTGGTCATAGATCCCAAACCTGTCAAAAAATAAAAATAATTATCAGATATGTTTATTACAATAAGAATTTCACCGTAACATATATTTGTTAACAAGAGTCAGTGTTTATGATTATTCAAATAAAAGGTCAGCGTAGGGATGTAGCAGAACTTAGCAGAATTGTTTCTATGAATTTGCGCAATCATAAAAATTAATTTAATTTCTATAAGGCACACGAGGCATTGAGCTTAAATATTTTTTTAATGGATCTCTACGTACAAGTTGGTTACAATTTTAAGCCTGGGGTTATGCACTGATAATATAAGGAATCATAATTCTATCTTTTGTTTGATTAACATAATCTCTCTGTTAAATTTCAATTTTTTTCCGTCTGCAGCACAACTCTAGGGTTGACCATAAATAAATAAAAGGAACAAGTGGAAATGAAGAAAATCTTCCTGTCAGTTCCTGTTTTTCAATTACCTCCCTTTATTCCAAATAATTTCCACCAAAGCAAAAGTCCAGAATCTATGACTACTGGAAGAAGCTTAAGTACAGTGACCAAGAAGTAAAGTCATGTAATGAAATGTCTGCCATAGTTTGTAATTTTTGTCAAGAGCACATCTGTATTTGGTTTTCATTATAAAAAATAAACTTTATTAAAATGAATAATTCTGCTTTCCAACAACAAGCTGACACATTAATTTGTGGATGATATGAATGTCAACATGGCTCTTGTTGAATACTTTTCAATGACAGTTCTACGAAAATTGTTTGTTACTGTGATTCTAGAAAATATGTTTTATTACTACATGTTTGTTAATTAAAATTTTAATGATTGTTTAATAACTGTTATAAGATGAATAATGTATTAAATGTGTTTCAAAAATAATGTTTTCCCCTTTTCATGTCCTTTAATTACGTATAATGTGGTCTGTGTTTGAAACTCGAGTTATAACATTTCAAAGGTTAAATTATTCCATGGTTTAAATAAAAGTTAATCATCTTTTAACTTTAAATTGCAACTTTATCATCTTTATTGTTCAATTGTTTATATTGGGTAAAATTATCTTATTTGTTTGTATTTCTTTGCCTATCTAAAATAAAATATTAAAAAACAATGTTACAATTAATTTATTATGTCCTTTATTCAATTTCTATGCCAATCTAAAAGACAATGTTTAAAAAACAATGTAACAATTAATTAATTAAGTTGTTTTTTTTCAGTTTCTATGATAAATGATAATGGTGGTAAATTAGAAATGCCACCTTTCATTTATGAGGAAATTTATAGCCCAACTTTCTTGTTCAAGTTAGCACCTTAAACGAAGCAAGTTTAAAAGCATTTGTCAGTTATAAGTTGTTTTAAGTTTATTGTGACATAAAGCAGTTTTGTGATTAATAGAAAACAATGAATTTAACTGTCCCTTTGAAAATTATCCTTTAAATTTACTGTGACAGATACAAAAATGATCTGTCTACAAAACACGTCTAAATAAATCATATAAAATTACCATATCTAACTGTGATCACATTATTATTCCTATGACAGCTTTATTTAAGATAATGAGCCGCGTCACAACAAAACCAATGTAATGCGTTTGCGACCAGCATGGATCCAGACCAGCCTGCGCATCCGTGCAGTCTGATCAGGATCCATGCTGTTCCCTTACAAACCCTTTTACAACTATAGAAACTGATAGCGAACAGCATGGATCCTGATCAAACTGCGCGGATGTGCAGGCTGGTCTGGATCCATACTGGTCGCAAACGCACTATGTTGGTTTTGTCGTGACGCGGCTCATATAATTATTTTCCTTATCCTCTAAAGTGAAAAGGATTCATGATTTATCATGATGTTGTGGATTAATAATCTAAATGGAAATTAATAATGGATGAATTGGAAAATATTTCTAAGACATGGTAAAATGTTATATATATTTTATAAGACATTGTAAAGTGATGGTAAAGTGTAAAATATATCTTCAAAGACAAAGGCAAAGTGTTGATACTTGTTAAGTGTTAAATACATACATGAATACGAAATTAATTATTAATGTCTCTGAGACATGGAAAAATTGTTAAAAATACTTCTAAGATAAATTAATTTTTTTTCCAAGACATGGTAAAGCGCAAAAAAATATTTCTGAGACATGTGCAATATTTTGTAATATGATAAAACCACCAGAATTTGTAACCTCAAGTAAATTATTTATAATAAGATAAATTCTCTCTCTTATATTTAATACAAGAATTGGCATTAAACTAAAGGCATGTTCCCTTTAAATAAAAGATGTGGAACAGTTCCTGGGAATAACTACTTGTGATTTATTAATTGTTATTACTTTATGCCCCAAGTTTCTATTGGTTTTCTCTCATTTTCAGCTCACCTAAGCACAAAGTGCTTAGAGGTGAGCTTTTGAAATGACAATTAAACATCTAAACACCTTGGTATATTTTGACCAAACTTCATGTGGCACTCTACAAAAGTTATATAATGAATGGTTCCAGTGTGATGTGTAAAATCAGAGGTGATAAAAACAGTCTTGAAAAAAATGAAATCTTTAAAACTTCTTCTCAATAATAACAATGCTGAGGGCTTAAACGGTTGGCATGTAGCATTACCTTGTGGTTATCTACAAAAGTTATATAATTTGTGTCTATGGGGTAAAGATTTGGCATGGCCCCTGTAGTAACTTCGTTTATATAGACCTATATAGGAAAATACATTTAAGTATTCTATTGTGATACTGCAATGCCTAGAGCTTAGATATAACCTTGTTTTTCTTTTGAAAAATGTCATTGATCATACCTCAGGGGTCAAAAACAGTAAAAAAGTTTTGTTGTTTTCTTCTTCAAAACTCCAATGCCCCGATCTTAGATATTTGGCTTGTAGCATTCATTACCTTGTGGTCCTCTACAAAAATTATGTAAATCATGCCTTTAAAACACATTAAAACTTTACAGGATAAATACCAGAAAAGCCGAGAGCATAGTTATTTTACAAAAGTTTGCTATATCATGCCCCAAGTCAAAAATGACCCCACCCTTAGGTCATATCTTATTTCTCACATACATAGACTTATATAGAAAACATGTCTTTAAAATACTTTCTTGGAAATTCTAATGCACAGGTTTTTGGCATGTAGTATGAATTTATCAGTCATTCCTCTGGCATCAAAAGTTACCCTATCCCAGGGGTTTATTAGTTTATTCAGGCTTATAATTAGAGGAAAACACTTTTAAAACTTTTTTTATGAAAATGCAATGCTTTTACCATGCAGCATTGTTGTGTGGTTCTTTACAAAAGTACATAAATCATAGTTAATATCCCTGGGGTATAAAAGGTCCAGCCGTCGGTTCCCTTATTTATATAGACTTACAAAGTAAAACACATTTAAATCTTTTTGTGCCCAGGGCTTTGATTCACTAAAAATTCATCTTTTCTGTAGACATGCTATTTAGATGGTAAAATGAAAGTTTAATTTAAAAAAAAATGAAACTATATTTACTATGTAAAATTTAATAAAAAGGAATTTATGTTCCTCTAATGATGATTAAAAAAGGCATAAACAAATTGGTCTGGCTTTTTTTATCAACTCTCTTACTATGGTAGCTTTTATGATTTTAAATCAAATTTCCTCTGTCTTATCAAATCTCACAACTTGTGTCAACACAATGGTATATTTAAATTTAAGATTTTATGACCAACTTTATTGTGTGACCGGGCAGAAAGATAAGACCACAAATCTTTGTGTGCTTCACATTGGTGGTATTCACTCCATGTTTTTCCCTTTCCGTGTCATCTAATCATTGTCTGTAGTCTGCACTACTCACTTCTCAGTCAGTACATGTTTTGAAATTTTCCCTAAAAATGATAAATGGTTTTGTGCAGATTGAAAGATGGACAAGTCCATTTAAGATATTTTGTGTGGTAAACGATAAATATTATCATAGTTAATATGCTAACCATATCTCAGTGGAATGAAAATAACCAATCTAAGCACAAAACTTGCATAGTATTACATGTACTTGATATTGAAAACACCTTGTAAAAAAAAAGTTCTGTGCTGTTGCCCAAAAGGTAGAAAACTTTTTAAAGGCACATTAAGCCTCAGAAGTCCATTTTTTTTAAATTCTTTAGAAATCTCAAAAAATGTGTTTAATAATGTTTTAATAATGGATTTAGAGCATATTAGATGTTTTATAACTGGAGAAAGTTGTGCTGAATGTGCAGTAATGTTTCATAAACGTAGCTAAATGTAAACAAAGTAATATTTTGACTTCCATACAAAATACTCATTCACCATGATTATACCCATTGCCAACAGAGCAAAAGATGTAGACCATGGTGGCAAATGAGTATTTTTAAAAAATTTTTTTTAAAAGTTTTTGTGAAATAAAAAATGATAGCATTCCTGGGGCATAATGGGACTTTAAAAATGTAATACAAAATTCAATGTTCCCAATCACCCCTCTTCATAACCACTAATTGCCTACACTTTATAACCCTCTCTAGAATATCCCCGGGAGATGCTTCGGTAGTTTAGCACGGAGGAAGGTAGTCTAGTACTGGTGTAACTCTCCAGGAATGATGGTTAGGAAACTACCCGCCTATATGACTGAAATACTGTTGGGAAAAGGCATAAAATGAAACAAACAAAAACTCTAGAATATTTTTCCCATATGAGATAGAAAATGTGTAAATCATTTTAAATTTTTGGTAGCGTTTTATGACTGCTGTCAATAGAGAATGATAAAATAACATGTGATTATTACACCAGTTCATGTCAATTAACCTAATTCTACCATTATATATGTCACAGTTTAGAACTGTTCACTTTTTAAGGGAGTTGATGTGCACACAGCTGGATCATAAGCACAGTTGGTAGAGCCTCGGAAAGGTATTCCGAGGGTTCTGGGTTTGAGTCCTGGTCAGGCTGCACATTTTTCTTACCCTGTGACACAACAATAATACAAGAATTTAAAGAGCCATGAAAGTGCAAGATATATTCTGTTTAACTTTGATAGCCTTTTATCATTGGGACAATAAACTAGTTTTACAATCTTATACTATAATATTCTTATCTGTTATGTGTAAATTCTATCAGGAAGGTCATCTTGGCAATCTTAGGATTCCCAATAATGCACTGATAACAGTAGATATCCCTGAACTCTGATTTTTTCTTTTTAAACCAATTGGATTAATACAGAAATATATGATTATCATTTTATTTAAGGACAGATATTCTGGGCTAAAACAGAGACTTATAAATTTGCTATATAAAGCTTTATGGTAAAAATGCAAAATTTGGTACTAATGGAATTTAGTGAATAAAGGATAATATAAACCAGCTTAATTTTCATAAGGTATAAAAATGTTGTGTTTTTCCCCTTATTCCCACCCCCTTTTATAATTACTCCAGTAATTGGATTTAAGGGATTTATGATTCATGCTTTCTAAATTAATTAAATAAATTACTTACAACCATGGTGAAGAACATAGTCACACTTAGATTTAAATAAATACTGTTTTAATACTAAATCAATTTTCAATAATTATATGGTAGATTCTTAATAGAATGCCTAAAAATAGCTTTACTGAATATTGTTTTTAATAGCTGCTGCAAAAGTGCTATTTAAATGAATATTACATGTATAAAGAAGCTTTATTTATTCATTCTATCATAGCATTAAGGTAAAATTAAAATTTGATATTTGAAAATATTTAAAATTGCTACACAGTCATTTTGTAAATATATAAAATAAACACATGTTTTGGTGTTTTGTTTTAAACTCTACTGAGAACACATTAGATATGAATTGAAATTTTCATGAAAAACTGGCAGTTTTTTTTTAAGAAAGCACCATTTAATTATAACTTTTAATTGACCGAAAATAGGGAAGTCACAACTTCCCATACAAAGTGTGTACATTCTTTTATTCAAATTAGACATAGGCCTATTCAGTAAGAATTTCATGAATTTCAATAAATTTCTGCAATAAACATAAATTATTTTACTCAAAGATGGGCATACAGTACAGTAGAATACCAAACTGTGAACAGAGGTTTCATTCTTTTTTTATATATTAGAGAGATATCTAGAATCATTGGTGGCTATGACTATAACCTTGGCAACAACTTATGATGGGGCAGTGTATTAAATTGCTTTTTTCAAAGATCCTAGCTAAATGCAACCACGGATTTATATTATTAGTAATATAAATTATATTATTAGTAATATAAATCCGTGATGCAACCCAACATTTCTGAAACTGTAAAGTTATGCTGGATTGAAAAATATACATCCTAGCTCCAGCCCTCTAACTGCCTTGGAGTATGCTTGAACAGATTGATACACTTTTTTTCTTACATATTTTAAATTGAAATATATTGACTTAAGAGCAGTTTTGGGGGCATCCGTTAGTCTTGTTTTTAGAGTGAAAGCTGAACAACTTTTCGAGATCAAGGGGGACAACATGAAATTAGAGTAAGTGTGCAAGAGTGACGTCCCTTGAATTGATTAAAGATGTCAATTTGTTAATTGATCTGGAAATCCTGTGTATGAACAGAATATATTAGCTGCATGAGCACATACAATAGGTTTTCAATTTCTTTGTGTTATTCATACCATAACAATTGTTGATAATGCTAAGACAGATTTATCGTGAAGCAAATTATTCAATTAAATTGTCACCCCACCCACTGTGTCTAGTCCTATAAATATGACGTCGCTTTCAGATATTTTTGCTTCTGGACATAAACTATCACAAGCCTGTAATGCTAATTTATTGGACTACCACTGTATTTGCAGTTGAATCCGAGAAACTACCAGAGTAATGGTCTTTCGGTTTATTATAGAATTAATGCTACAATGACTGATGCATTACCGACCTCCTAAAATGTTTATCTGTTTATGTTACCTTATCAGGGAACAAGACACTTCACCCCCCGTCCCCCACATACACACACACACACACGCACTTCACACCTCAAATTTTAATGGGAACACTTCTCCACCAAAATCAATAAGACACTTCACCACTCACCCTTATGATTTCTAAAGTAAATATTTCAACAAAATATAAACATTTAATTTTGTTAATTTTCTTTATCTGTTTATTTTAAGCAGGGTCTTTCTATTTGAAAGACCCTGTTTTAAGTAAATTTCAACAGATCTCGAGACATAGGATGATAGGTAACATGTTATATATGCCTCTGATTTTAATGAAATACTTAATTTTCAGTATTTTCAATCTATTTTTAACATTTAAAAATGTACCATCGAAGACAATTTACACTTAAGTTAAAATACAACATGATACTTTTAATAAATAACAACATTTTAATTATTACAACTTTTAAGCATAACATGAAAGGCAATATATTATAGACTTACTCCAACATTAATATTTTGGTTCTTCCCAGCTTATCTGGGGGTTACAAATATAACTTTCACAGTTATAGCTTCAAGAATAATTTCAACAGGTTTATTAATCTACCTATTGTGACCGGTAGTGCACTGTGAAGTTATAACCTTCAAAGTTTGTACCCGTGATTAGCTTGGAAAAACACATATTTGCCGAGTTCCTGATAACTTCTATGTAGAGAATCAGATGACATACAAATAGAATAAAATCGAATAACAGCTGTAAAATTGCTGACAAGAATATGTGGGACTTTCAACTTAAAAGTCATCAAGGTAACTACTGTAAATTACCGGACAAAGGAGGTGTGAAAGGGATTTAAGTATCATCATGCATTATGTACTTTTAGTGTCTAGCTTTATTTGTCATCCAATGAAAACCCTGTATTTCTTAAAAATTATGTGTGTTCATTTTCATAGAAGAAAAAAAGTCAATACTTTATTGAATTCCGTTCATAGTCTCCTTCTATTTTTTCGTAGTACTTCATAGAACCGCGTAGTGACGTAATTAAGTTAATAATAATGCGGCCAAATAAAGCTTGACACTAAGTATGTTAGTATTCATCCGTAGCTGCAGCTGTTCTACAGAAATTAGAAACATTCTCCTGTCACTATCGCTCCCATCGAAGTTTCTAATTTCTGTAGAACAGCACGGATGAACACTAACATATACGTATCATTAAAGACAACATTTCACACACTTTAACTGATTGATATAAAAATAAGTTATTTTAATAAGTCAGACTTTCATTGCAATTTTAATGTTATAATTATATCTTCAATGAATATTTTTTTTCACCATAGATTACACCACACATATTTCTCCTTCATTTGTGTAAAACACAAAACCAAAAAAAAAAAAATGGGGTCGGGGTGCCTCAATCAGATTTCATAAAAAGAGGTGTAAATTGTCTGCAAAAAATGGTCTAGGGTGAAGTGTCTGAGGGGTGAACTGTCTGTAAATCTATTATCAAAGTATTTAAGTCGGCTTTTTTCATGTTTTGGATAATTTAAAGTATCTCGAAACTTATTTTTTTCCAAAAACTACTTATTTAATGAAATTATTTTACTGTTAACTTTAACATCTTTTACTTTAATTACAAATAGACATGTATAAAAGTTTAAGACACCAGGGATTTCAAGACAACCCAGTTGTTAAAGGCTGAAAAATATATCAGAATTGCACATCAAAATATTTTGTCTAGAGGCTGGGTAGTTTAAGGTCTTAAGTGCTGTGACAGAACTGCAACAGCCAAAAGAAAGTGGCATATAAAGTTTCGGAAGCTGGTGAAATCCCATGTAATAAGTTATTAACTACCTGGCTACTTAAGTACTTTCAATAATTTCTTACCTTACTCATTCCTTTTGAGCTATACTTGTATATTTGTAAGAAATGATCTTGGCTTGTAATGTTTGCGACTGCAATATATAGGTCAATCTGCCGTGATTAAAGGTGAAGCTACATATGTAAATAAACACATGTTTGGATTGCTTCGACGCCACACAGGGACGCAGTAAAAATGTGGACCTTTATAAATGAAATATCATATAACATCAGCTACTGTGATTTAAGATTTTATCCAAGTAAGATTTTTTGTTTATATAAATGTTTTATAGATTTTTTTCGCTAGAGCAAGATATTGGTAGCCATTACTAAAGTTTCAACAGTCTGAACTTTAATTCTTTAATTTATGTTGGTGATTTTTTATAATATTGTAGATGTATAGCTGGTCACGGAGGACAACATGGAGTGTCAGAGGAGTGAAAATGAAAATACAGCATATTCCTCTTCAAGTTTGCAAAGCATGTATTCGATGCTATGTAAGTTTAAAATTTAATAAGGAAATATTTATTAACTATAAGTTATCACAAGTTTTTGGTTAAGTTTATCTTGGTATATAACATGGGCTGACTAATGTTGTTTTTAACATATTTATTTAAGCTTGATTGCGAAACAAGTTCTTGCAACTTATATTAATCACTTTGGAGTCCGCTTCCTGGAACCAACCAGTACTGGTGTCATATGAAGAAATATGCTCGTTACCCTAGCTCAAACCCATGATCTCTGGGTTGAGAGGCAGACACCTTAACCACTAGGACACCGCTCCCCGTTAAATGTTGTGATGTGGTATAAAAATAGCAAGTTACATGTCAGCCAAAAAACTGATAGTTTAATAACCAATCTTCATAGAGCTAAATGTTAAACATATATACAGTCAAACCTGTGTCAAAAATCACCTCTTAATTGAATTAGAATTACATAATTTATGTAATGTAATGTTCAGTTTCTGTTCTAATCTACTTAGTTAGAATTTACCTCTTAAAAGTAGACATGCCATCCACTAGAGGAAGACTTGCTTTTGATTTTAATTGTTACACAAGATTATATTTGAAAATTATTAATACATGTAATAATGTCATACATGTCCTGTATCTTTTTTCTTCTACAAAATGAAGGGTCATCAATCTTTTACATATTTTAACTTTAGTACATAATTATTATACTTATATTAAAGGTATTGTAGATTTTAAAATTGCTGCAAATATATAAAATGTTAGATCTAAAAAGCATTTTTTTTCCTTTTACAAAATGAAGGGTAACCAATCATTTAAATGTTCATATTTCAACTTTAGTGCATAATTAAAACATATATTAAATATTAATTGTAGATTTTAACATTTCTGTAAATGTAATATCTAAACAATAAATGTCCTAGAAAGTTTACAAGGAATATATCACTAAAGAGATACACAATGTAAGTGAGTTGAAATATTTCCTCATTTTAAAACAAGCACTTGTATCATAAATATACCACAATTAAATCATTATAAAGAGATACCAGGAAACATGGTTTTCATTTCATACTGTAGTTTTAATTTGAGGATATTAAACATGATTGCACAAAATTACAGCAAGGCCAGCCTGAACATCCATGCAGACTTGACTAACTAGGATCTGTACTTTGCAGCTTATTTTATCATTCAAATAAAACCTTGGCAAAGTTCCAAAATCAAACCAAAGTCCAAACTCCTTTATACCAATATAGCATATTGAAGGTTCAATCATGTTATAATATACATTATTAATAATGTACTGTACATGTTTAACTTTCGGATTGGAATGTGTGCGTTTAAATTGACCTCGATAATAAATATACAGTATTTATATTATAATGTACTATACATGTTTAACTTTCAGACTGGAATGTATGAGTCAGAATGGACCAGGATATGTGTTTTCTTTATAACATTATGCACTCTGTGTTGTCTATTGTTTGGTTGGGTATTGTTTCGAGACCCTTGCTTTGAATGGGATATACGAACTAGTTTAGTAAGTTGTCATATTTTTTGTACTTTTCTACAAATCAGAAAACATGTAATAAAAAAGTTATTGCGCATGCAAAAAAAAAACTTAAGCATTTGTAGATCCTTTCTATGCACATATTTGAAAATGTATACATGTCTGTGGGTGCAGGGTTATGTGTCACTTTTCTTTCTGATTATAAACACTTCATAATTAATTTTTGGGTATGCGATAAATAGAATATTATATTTGTATAACTTCATTTTAAATTTATTGAACGTGTTGAATAAAGTGATATTATGCTTGCCAGAGGCTCCCATAATATAAATTTATTTAATAAACACAACCAATTCAGTATGAAATCTACACTCATTCAATATCCTCTTTTCATTTATCTGATTATAGAAAAAAAAAAGTTATTTTAAATAGTTTGTAATATCTGAAGAATAATTTGATTGTTTCAGTGTAATGACTATGAGAATGGGTTGATAGCTGGTTCCCTGTGTTATGATCTATGTGCAGAGGAACTTTCTTTATTATCTAATTGTATAGATCAAAACTCCCATATTTCTGTAAGTATTTTATATTCTGTAACACATTTGTAAATGTTTAGTTCTTGGAATAATAAATTCTTGGAGGGCTATTATCTATATAAGGAGGGGGATATAGGTATCATATTATCCTGTCTGGTTGAACCAGTACAGTAAAAACTGTTATTAGTTGAAACTTGAAATGCAAGAATTATACCTCTTCATTGCCTATTGATAATGTGATGCGACCTTTTCTTAGGTTATTTGAGTACAAAGTGCTCAGAGGTGAGATTTGTGATAACTAGTTTACAGTTAGTAATTTGTCATTTATATCAACATTTTTTTAACCGCATTCACAAAATTAAGTTAAGGATTTTAAACAAACTTCACAGGAATGATCTGTAGGTGGCTCTCTTCAAAAGTTTTATGTAAAATGGTTCCAGTTTGATTCATAATTAGGTCACAAGAGCTAACAATAGACTTTGAAAATGAATTTTTTGAAGTCTTCTCTTCAGAAACTACAGTGTCTCTAGCATATACATTTGGCATGTAGCGTGACTGTGGTCCTCTACAAAATTTTTATAAATCATGTCCTTGCGGGTCACTTATTTTATATACTACACCTAAACAAGAAAACATATCTTAGGTCTTTTACTTGAAAACAACAATGTCCATAGCTTAATTATTTGGCATTTAGCATTGATTACTGTGAAAGTCATCAAAAATTTTAACACAATGTGGTCTTCTACAAAAGTTACGAAAAAACCTGCCACTGGGATCCTGCCCTGGGAAGTCACATAATGAGTGTTTATATGAACTTGTAAAGGAAAACACATTTAAATCTTATTCTGTGAAACTTCAGTGCTTAGAAATTAGGTTTGTTGCATTTTCTGTCGGACCGCTGTTAAAGTTATATGAATAATGCTGCTTGAGTAAAAAATGACATGTCCAGATGTGATCTAATTACCTTTTCTAACAACAAATAATCTAGGGTCATAATGGCAAATTTTTTTTACATTTAGTTACTCATTCTGAATTTGATAAAAGTTTTGATTTGCAAAACCTTTATTATATTTATTGGAAGATCTTTAAAGTTATTTCAGAGTTTGCATATAACTGAAGCTTGAAAAAGTGTACAGTCATGTTGATACCACTGTAATTAGCATGAAATGTTATGACCCTTGCTCTACCTATCTTAATGGTCTGACTCTTAGACTAAATCCTATTGCTTGTGACAGGCATATAATGCATTGACTGACATCTTGGTCTAAGAGCTGCACAGTCCCCACCTTTGCCCCCTCCAAAAAAAGAAAAATGTTTTATAGCTTCAAGTAGTAATAGGAAGGATAATGTCCAACAATGAACACAATGACTGTAGTTTGTTATTTTTCTGAATTTATGAAACAGGTATTTAAATGGGAAGGAAATGTGATAAAAGCCCGTCTACCTGAGAAGGATGGTACCCAATCTAAATCTGTGTCCGGTACCCTTTTTAACAGAGACTCTGTATGGGAGGGAATGACACGAAATGAATTCTCCAATGTGATAAAGAAGTATTTTTCTCATATACTTGGCAACAACGACCATTCCCGCCTTATAGAGAGAGCCTTAAGTTTCGCTGACTTCAATAAAGATGGCCAGGTATAAAATACTCTTCTAATTTATGTGACTTTAACAGATTTTTAATCTGCAGGAAATAATGTTCAATGGCTTACTATTGTATTTGATAACTGAACATGAAACGAAAATATTTGAAATTTCTCATGTTAGTTGATGGATAATAAATACGTACAATAATCAAATAAATATCCTAAATACATGATGATTATGTTTATTAGATTAATATTATAAAATGATACTAAAAAGGCGCAACCTTTGACAGGATCGGAATTATTTGTTCTAGAAATTTTATGTACCATTTGATACAGGTGTAGATGAAAAATATATGTGCAAAATTTCAGGTCATTCGCTCTATAGGTTAATTCTTAAAAATCATTTTACTTGTCAAAATGAGTTTTTATGCCCCCACAATGTGGGAGCATATAGCGTTGCACTTGTCCGTCCGTCAGTCCGTCCGTACGTCCCGAAATCTTGTGAACGCAACTCCTCTTAAACCGGATGGCAGATTTTGCTTAAACTTCCAGGGATGAACAACCTTAATGTGTAGATAGTAGTAAAGAAAGGAATTTTTGCTGCAACCAAATTTAACAGAATTATGGCCCTTTTTTGATTTTTTCATTATATACTATTAGAAATTTTGTGAACGCAACTCCTCTTAAACCGGATGGCAGATTTTGCTTAAACTTCCAGGGATTAACAACCTTAATGTGTAGATGGTAGTAAAGGAAGGAATTTTTGCTGCGACCAAATTTAACAGAATTATGACCCTTTGTTGATTTTTAGTTTTCAACTTGTGGCACATGTAGTCCAAAAAGTATTTGACGTAGAGTCATAAGATTGACAGAACAGTGGCGTGTGGGGGGCATCCGTGTCCTATGGACACATTTCTAGTTTTGAACTCAAATCAGACTAAGAATTATAAAAAAATGTGTTGTTTTCTTTCAAGTTAACTGTAGTATATTTACATATTAGCTTTTGTATAATTTTCTGTTTTCAGTGTCCCATCTCATAGTGATCTATGTAAGAATTTGAAGCTTCTTTAATGTTTATTTTATGAATACCACATATTCCACATATTCATTTTTCCTCTCTTGTATTTCAGCTGACATATGGTGAAGTTAACTCATTTTGGCAGTTACTTCAGATCCAAGAATTCCAGACATTGTTTATATTTCAAGATAAGTCAGTATTCCCTCTGCTAAATGGAACGTGTGGTAACTTGTACTCACATGAGGCAGCTTATTATCCAATATTGTACAATAAAAATACATCATCATATATAGATATAGCATTTCCTAATAGGTAAGTAAAAAAATGACTTTTCAAATTTGTCAATTAATAATAGAATATAGTAACGGCTTGAGAACTAGGTGCTGATTAATTCATTTCATTTCATGCAGTCATGTTTAGATTTTCCATCTCTTAAGTCTTGTCCTCCAAATTAAAGTCTTGTCCTCCAAATTAAAGTATTGTCCTCCAAATTAAAGTTTTGTCCTCCAAATTAAAGTATTGTCCTCCAAATAAAAGTCTTGTCCTCCAAATTAAAGTCTTATCCTCCAAATTAAAGTATTGTCCTCCAAATATTTCTTTCTAATACATGTATATTGTACTCACCCAGGCATTGGTGTCACAATTTAGTTTAATTTTTGCATGCAAGTTGGTGTCTCAAAAAACTACTGAAGGGAGTGGATTGAAATTTCACACACCTATTTGAGAGCATAATAGGAGGTCACTGTCCAAGGTTGTTGATTTAGACATATGGCCCTTTTGAATTTAGAAAAGCCATTTTTGATCTAAGAAAATTCTACATTATTCAGGCTCTTGGTTTACTATCAAGCACTAGTCGAGCATTCTGTACTACTGACAGCTGTTGTTAATTGAACACATTAAGTTTAGTTTTCATTTCTTTCTGACATAGTTATTTTATGGACATTGCTTTATATTCCCAACTTTTAATAAATATTTTTTTAAAAATTGTAGGAATTTGAATTTTATTTAATAACCTAACAATATTTATTTAATTAAACATACATTTAATAATGATTTATTGTAAAACATATTTCTTTGAAACATAAAGCAACAAAATCAACTGTATAATACTGAAAATAATAATATTGAAAATAAAATGTACCTGTATATATATTTCAACAGGTACAGATGGAATCTTCCAGAGTTCCCTAAACGATTACACATATCCCTTGGTCTTTTAGAATATGTTTATACAACGATGGAAACTGAAAATACAAAGTTTTACATGTGTAACTTCAGTCCAAAAAACTTTGGATATACCCAATATTTTGAAATGAAAGTATCAAACGTACAAGGTATTGTATCAGAGCCATTTTTGAACACAACGTTACAAAGTATTACGTGTGAAACTGATGTAGATTGTTTATATGGTGATGTTTGTAAATCTCAGTGCAATAGTGACCTAGGTCGATGTTTCGGGGTCGGTGCAAATTACATTCCAGACTTAGTCAAAATATGTCATATCTTGCAGGACTATATTGTGTACAACTTGCCAGTTAAATTGAAATACACTCTAAGTCACATTGTCGCAGACTGTATCAGAATTGGTAAAAAATTGCGGCGGAAAAGTCCGTCGATGATTCTGGTGGATCAAAACCTTGCATTAGATCGCCTGAATCAGGTACTTTGGAATGAGTTAAAATATGAAGAGAATAAGTGGCTGACTAAACCAACGAAAAAACCAGCTGTTGTTTTATGAATTGTTTTAATATTGTTTAATTTAGACTCGAGATTTATTTGAAATAGTTCCAACTGGATGCTGGTTAAACTTGTTATAAAATAACTTTATTATTGTGATAACCTGATACATTGTATTGTTGATTTTTTTTTTTCAAAACTTGATATAGGTATTTTTGGAGATTGATTTATAAAAGTAAAAGAGCTCCACTGAGGTAAAAAAGCATAAAGACTTAAAATTTTGAATTTCTTACAAAGTCAATCATTTAAAAATGGAAAAAGTCTGTGAAGAATAATACTAGTGTTATATAGAAAAAATATACTTTAATATTGAATATTGATTTTTTGTGTGATTCTTAGGATTCTGATATGACTGAAAAGCTGTAATGCTGTTCATTTATAGGTCATTTTTACATAATAAAAATGATCATCCTAGAAAAACGGGTAGAGACAATGATCTGATAACACAAATTATTGGTCCAGATTCTTATCAAATGGTACACATATGTGAGATAAATATTTCTTGTCCTGTCCTGTTACATGTATCTCTTAAAACCTCAGTGGAGTCCTTTAACTTCATTATTATGTTAACCTTATGTTTTAATTTCATTTTTCAAACTTAGGTCTTTCTGGAGATTAGAGTAAAAAAAAAGAATCTTTGATATTATTTAACATTAATTCTATCCTGAATGCTGAAGATATCTTATTGTAAATTTGATTAAGTTTAACCCACACATGGTTTAAATGTTACATTATTTTGGCATTGACTGCTTAGAGCAATGCTTAGGTTATACCTGATTTTGAATATATCATAGTTGTTTTTCATAATGAGGTTACATTTACATGAATTTCTTCTAGGGGGCAGTATAAAGTTGATGTTGTGGCCTTCCATCATTCTATCACACTATTTTTCAGAAATTTATGCCATTATTTGATGTTTATGCCATTATTTGATGTTTAATTTCTAATATGCCTGGTATTTTTTTTATCCTCAAGGCTAAGGTCACCCACACTGAAAATAGATTTATCTTTTTCTTCTTCATAGATCCTTTATTGATTTAAAACAATATCTTTAACATTTGTCATTTAACTACCAAATACAAACAGCAAGTTGAAAGGTCAATCTTATTGCAGCTGAAAATTACCTTTTCTCATAGTTTGACCTTCTCTGGTTTATAGCTATTTCAAAATTACATGGCCAACACATTTCATCTGTATCATGGTGGCAACAAGGTGCATCCATCAGTGTCACCCATTAGGCATATTATTGTTTCTGTTATGCAATACATTTTTAACTCACTCTTTTTGTTGAAATGTCTTTAAACAACATCTCCTAAACACCTGCAATCTCCACAGCATTGGTCCTTAGGTTGCCCTCTAATATAAAACACCTAGAATGTAGAAAGTTTTAGATTAGTACAACACAATGACTATACAATAATTAGGCGTAATGATAAAATTTGTCAGTATAAAGCACTCGGTATGTAGTAAAAATCTGAAATTGTATGTAGAATATTTTGCTTAGAAAGTTAAAAAATTAGGTCAGTCCCAAAATTTTAATAATGCTAGTAACAATTTGTTTTGTTACATGATCTTAAATGTAAGTTTAGTGCAATAAGAATATTAATTTTAATTGAAATATTCATGATGTGTTAAAATATTTTTGTAGTTACGATCTGGTAAAAAGAAAGTCAATATTTCATACTGATTTTAAATTGAATTTTAGTCTTTCTCATAAAGATAATGTCATACATATACCACCATGATAATGTCAAGCCAGCCTGGACATCAGTGCAACCTTACAATCTCTCACAACAACTGCTCATTGTAACCATTTGATATTAAAACCCCTATCGATAGACTGTTCCATACTAAATGTAGGACTAGTCCATTATAGAAATTCAGCAGGGTATAGTTATATTTATAGATGTGCTCTTGTTGAGTTATATATATAGCCTGTCACATGTATTCTATTTTTTTTATTTTTTTTTGGAATAATTATGAAATAAGACTTTTCCTTATAATATCTGTCATATGTTGCAGTTCGGATGGGAAAATATATTTTTTTGCATATTCTACCATATATTTTCTTGCATATTCTATCATATTCCATTCCATTTTAAACTGTTAACATTAAGAAAACAATTTTTCATGGAAATTTATGTCATTACACCCATAACTGTTTTCTTACAACAGCGTAATATATGAAATTATAACTTCATTCAAACAGTAAAATTATTCATCCTAAGCGTGCCATTGTACAGCACGCGATTCGATTCATCTGGCATGCCAGATGAAATTTCCGGCATGGGCAAAACGAACGGAAATGCCAGTCTGATATGCAAGAAAATCTAGTCATATTAGTTTATACAGTTTTATAATTTTGTTTTGATATGATTACAAATTGAAGTTTTGTATGTTTAACAAGCTGTCTGATGTACAGAATCAACCTATGACATTTTTGAATCCGAGAGTTGTTTTATGTAAATGAATGTCACAAAGAGATTAAAGAGTGCATAAGAAAACCAATTTTATTTGGGGTTGTAATTTAATGATTGTTGTATGTGATATATACATATACAGTAAAAACTCGCTAATGAGACCAATGAAGGGACTTTACGAAACTGGTCTTAATAGCGGGTTGGTCTCATTAATGAGTTTGGTCAAACAGAAAACCAAGCAATATATTAAGGGATACCATGTACTGTACACATCTTTAATTCTGGGCTAACCTATTTCAAATGAGAAGATATTAAGCATACAAAATTATTTTTTTTATTTTCATTTATTTTCTTTTACTTTTTTAACAATATAAAACTTTTAAACTTCTTTAGAGATACAAAATGTATTATGAATGTCTTTAAACACAAACATATTTTTACATTCTTGTTAAAGGAATGACATGACTGACTCAATTAAATCACCATTGTACTACAAAACACACCGAACAATTAACCTTTAATTATTTTCATAGTTTTTATCGCCGATAACAACTTCAAAAACATAATCGTGTCATGTTTTTATTTGTTTAAAATTGTGGAACGAAGGAGATAATGATAGCAGCAACACCTCTAAAATCTTATTGAAAGTTTTCTGTACAATGATTTGTTGTTTAAATTCTCCAGTTATGACATTAAAGGTGTGAAATCATCAACAATATTATTGATCATTTCCGGGTTTGATACAAAGTAACCTTGACCTCTGCCGTAAATTGGATGTCGTTAAATGTCGTAAAAGTAGGACAAGTGTTGTTTACACCGCGTGTCAAAAAGATTTCAGCAATATACATGCATGTCAATATCAAGGTGAGAAAGTGCCCGCGGTCGTATTTAAGGGTTTCCAAATGTACAGAATTTACGAAATGGGACTGAATTTACTGGTCGTATTACGGAATAACGGGGTGGTCTCAAAATCGGGGTTAGCGACCATTAAAATAAAGAATAAACAAGAGCGATCAGTAATCACATGTGTCGCCTCATGATGGCCAATTTCATGTTGGGACAAATTTTGTGACAGACGGACAGACAGACGGACAGTGCACAACTAGACTAACCACTTTGTACTGATCATTCCTGTAAAGTTTGGATGAAATTGCACCAGTAGTTTATGAGGAGTAGTCCGGACAAGCTTTTGCGTATCTGGCAACACACAGAATAAAACACCTTTTTATCAAAGGGCCATAACTCGGCCAAAAATCATTCAACTGGAAAACCCGTGAAATATGCGCAAGGACTTGAGCTACAGATCAATCCTGTAAAGTTTCATTGAAATTGCATAAGTGGTATAAGAGAAGTAGTCTGGACAAACTTTAAAAATAAAAATTATTAAAGGGCCATAACTCAAACAAAAATCATTGAACCGGAAAATGCTGACAATATGCACAACTAGACTTGGTACTGATCATTCCTGTAAAGTTTGGATGAAATTGCACCAGTAGTTTATGAGGAGTAGTCCAGACAAGCTTTTGTGTAACTGGCAACACACAGAAAAAGAAACCTTTTTATCAAAGGGCCATAACTCGGCCAAAAATCATTCAACCGGAAAACCCGTGCAATATGCGCAAGGACTTGAGCTACAGATCAATCCTGTAAAGTTTCATTGAAATTGCATTAGTGGTATAAGAGAAGTAGAAGAAATAAAAATTATTAAAGGGCCATAACTCTGACAAAAATCATTGATCCGGAAAATCCTGACAATATGCACAACTAGACTTGGTACTGATCATTCCTGTAAAGTTTGGATGAAATTGCACCAGTAGTTTATGAGGAGTAGTCCGGACAAGTTTTGTGACGGACGGACAGACAGACAGACAGACGGACAGACAGACGACGGATAAGTGATCCCTATATGTCGCCACTACTCCGTAGAGGCGACACAAAAAATCGGGTCTTTAAAAAATCGTTCCTATTAGCGGGTTGGTCTCGAAAACGGGGTGGTCGTAAAGCGGGTTTTTACTGTAGCCAATTGCCATGTGTATTGATATAAATATTTTGGTTTTGACAATTTCTTATGGCAGAGCTGTTAATGCATTGATTTTATTTTTTCTGTAATTTTTTTTAAGTGATAAGTTGTTTTGTTCTTTTAAATTGCATGTTTGTCAAGGCATTTGATACTTATTACATGTATGTCCAAATTTGTAACGAGGAATCAAATGTGTATTTTGAATTTACTAAAAGTATTGGATATAATTTTGTTTAGCAAATGTGATATTCAAAAAGTGGTGTATTAAATATGTATGTCGGTAGTGAATACAAACATTGTAGAATAAGATCATTAGAAATTGTTTGTATGCCAATTCAGACCAATGCATTCTATAATGAATCAGCAAGTAACTAAAAAAAGATTTCTCAGATAAATGCATGTAATACACAGAAAGAAAAGAAAATGTTAATTTTATAGGCCAAAACATTTTCAAACAGGCTTGTTGGTTGAATGTGGCAAACAAACATTTTACTTTTTAGGCCCTGGGGAAAGTATATAAAGATATTACTATTATGGATGCATTGAAATAGTATTCACTATATTTTTTTTCATTTAGTATTAATTTTTGTTTTACTTTACTTTCTACATATCTTTTTGAGCTTGCCTGAAAGTAAAAAGCTGATGGTGAGCTTTTAGTATTGCTTGATGTTCGCTTTCAATAAAAATCATTTTCGTGACTTCACTTGCACAAGCCACACACGCATACAGTGGTTTGAATGTTTCTGAAGTGTCATCAGA